GGAACCGGTCTCCACATGGGATCCGAACCCTCGGTGGGAGCGCCGCCGTGCTCCCAAGCGGCGCACTCTCCAGTGCGCCACCGGGCTGGCCCTATAATTATTATTTTAAAACTAGGATGATAACGTGGATAAGAGAAACACACCTAACATAATTCTCCAAGTTCTAAAATTAACTAATTTAAATTTTTCTTTAATCTTTTCTAGTTACCCCAGATCTTCTCTCTAGACTGCCAGCATTCTCCCAGTATCTATTCTCCATTCTCCCTATTGGTAATAGAACTCCCTGAGTTTTTGCTGGATACATAGTTGTCTAGCTACCTTTCCCAGCCTTCCTTAAAGCTAGTGTGGCCTTGTGATATACAGTGACAATGGGAGTGAATGAAGTGATCAGTAAAACTCCTGGGTCATCTCTTTATAGATCCCTGTGCCTTGCTAGCTGTAAACTGAGGACAACAACAATGACTCTGGGCGCCACTGAGGGTGGCAGAGCTGTCCTCCAGCTCTAGACCACTCACCTCTCAACTGTTAGTTGCAAGAGAAATAAACCTTTTAAAAATACTGTGGTAAAATACATAACATAAAATATGCCATTTTAACCACTTTAAAATGTACAATTCAGTGGCATTAATTATACTTACACTGTTGTGCAATCACTACCACAGTCTGCCTCCAAAACTTTTCCATTACCCAGACAGTAACCATTAACAATAATTCCCTCATTCCCTAGAAACCTTTAATCTACATTCTGAAAAGAAATAACTTTTGTCGGGCTGGCCCGGTGGCGCACTGGATAGTGCGCCGCTTGGGAAGCGAGGCGGCGCTCCCGCCCAAGGGTTCGGATCCCACATACAGACCGGTTCCCGCTCGCTGGCTGAGCGAGGCGCGGGAGCAACACCGAGGGTTGCGATCCCGTTGCCGGACACGGAAAAAGACAAAAAAAAAAAAAAAAGAAATAACTTTTGTCTTGAGTCACTATGCTTTTGGTTGACATTTTTAAATTTTATTTTTATCTGCACAGAATAGTTGTACATATATATGGGGTACATGTGGTATTTGATTCAACCTTTAATCTACATTCTGAAAAGAAATAACTTTTGTCGGGCTGGCCCGGTGGCGCACTGGATAGTGCGCCGCTTGGGAAGCGAGGCGGCGCTCCCGCCCAAGGGTTCGGATCCCACATACAGACCGGTTCCCGCTCGCTGGCTGAGCGAGGCGCGGGAGCAACACCGAGGGTTGCGATCCCGTTGCCGGACACGGAAAAAGACAAAAAAAAAAAAAAAAGAAATAACTTTTGTCTTGAGTCACTATGCTTTTGGTTGACATTTTTAAATTTTATTTTTAACTGCACATAATAGTTGTACATATATATGGGGTACATGTGGTATTTGATTCATGCATACAATGTGCAATGGTCAAATCAAGATAATTAAGATATCCATTACCTTAAACATTTGTCATTTCTTTGTGTTGGGAACATTCAACTTTCTTTCTTCTAGTCATTGGAAATTATATACAATAGATTGTTGTTAACTACAGTCACCCTACAGGGCTATAGGACATTAAAAGTTATTCCTCATTTCTAGTTGTATTTTGTATTCTCCCTATTCTCCCTCCCCCTCACCCTTTCCAGCCCCTAGTAACTATATACAGACACTGGCACCAGGAATTGGGTGCTACCATAACAAAAATGAAAAACGTACAGGAATGGAAGGTGAGAACAGACACTGCAGGCTGGGAAACTAGTGATCCTCATTATACTATTGATAACATTTGTTAAAACCATTGCTTGCCATAACTTAGAAGGCAGACCATGTATCTACTGAGTCTTAGCTCAAGAAGAATTGTATGTAAAAACCAATAATGTTGGTATGTGTTTGTTGGTATATGTTGCTTTTTTTTTTAATTTAAAAAAAAATTATTATTATTAATATTTTTTACAAAGGTGTTGTTGCAGAGAAGCTGGGGGGAGGGCGAGAGGGTGGGGGGAAAAGTGGGACATGGTCGAGGACCATGGCACCCCCTCATTCTGGCAGAAGAGCCCAGGGAGCTTCTGGCCGTGGCTCGGTCATGGCTTGGTTGGATGTGGACTTCAGAGGGGTGTGGCTTAGGCCTTTGGCCCCCCACCAACCCGGGAGCCTGGGGCACTTCTGGACATAGCTTGGTGGTTGTTGCAGGGCTGGATGTAGACATTGGGGCAGTGGGTGGGGGGGCATGGCTGAGGCCCTCAGCCCCTCACTGCCCAGGCTCAGAAGCCCACGGTGCTTCTGCTGGCAGCCTGGTGGTTGTTGCTGGGATGGATGTGGATGTCAGGGGGGTGTGGCTGAGTCTCACAGCCCTCCATCACCCTGGCTTGGGAGCCCAGTGAGCTTCCAGCAGCTGCCTGGTAGTCATTGCTGGGCTGGATGTGGAGATGGGGGGCACAGCTGAGGCCCTTGGCCCCTCATTGCCCTGGCTCGGGTGCCTAGCGCATTTCTGGTGATGACCTGGTTGTCACAGGATTGGATGTGGATGTCAGAGGAGTGTGGCTGGGGTCCACGGCCCACTACTGTTCCAGTGGGAGCCCAGGGTGCTTCTGGTGGTGGCCTGGTGATCATCACTGGGCTGGATGTGGATGTCAGGTAGGTGCGGCTGAGGTCCTTGGCCCTCTCCACACTCTGGCTTGGGAACCCAAGGGTCTTCCAGTCCTTCTAGGTTTATAGGTGTTCTTTGGTGGTGTTAGATCTTTACTGGTTAATGTCAGAATTGTATCTCTGATCTGTGGGGTTTTTGTTTTCTCTTTCAGTTCCGTGTTGGATTATTTGCTACTCCTGCGACTTAAACTCTGCATTGGAACTAATTTGTTGTCCTTTGGTTACTTCTAAAATGGGGGAACTTCCTGTGGAAACCAGCATTTGTGCCCTGTGGCTGAACTAAATTGCTGCTTTGCTGCTGATTCTCTATGCCGCTCAGGTTTTAATTGCTGACCTTGTAAGTACTTCTGGGTCTTGTGAGGTCCAATACACCTGGGTAGTGTGGAAACTCTGGTCTTGGCCTGTGTCTTTTTCAGCAAACTGCACCCCTGCAGATCTATATTCCTGACCAGTCTCCACTGAGTGAGTCTGTGCTGACTGTAGGGCAGATCAGCTGTCCATGCTGTGCCCCAATGTTCCCCTGGTGGGCCCGTCTCCACCACCACCCATATTCCAAACACTTCCCATGGGATGGGCCATGTGCCAGTCCCTTGTGGTGACTCACCAGCCTCTGAATGGCTCCTTTTTCAGATGTCTGTGGCCTCTTGCTCCAATGTGAGTCCACAGGAACCATGTTAGTGGTCTTGCTGGGCTAGGGGCCACCAAGGCCTTCTTCTCCCTTGCATCCTCCAAGCAACTTCACACAAAGGGCACAGCAGCAGCTTTTGCCAACTCTTGCTCCATCTGCTCACCAGGGCCAGCCTTGAAATGGTTGGGGCTCAAAATAGTTGGAGCAGTCCTTTCCTTCTCTCATCGTTGCTTTTCCTGCCTTCATGAACTCCATAGGTCTCTCCTCCTCTTCCCCTGAGCTCTAGCGGCCCCAGCTTGGCAGCTTGTTGCTTTTTAATAGTTGTAAATTGGTGGACCATGGGAGAGGGTGATGCTGAGGACTGTCTATTCTGCCATCTTGATTGGAAGTCAGTATATGTTGCTTTTAAGAAAGATTTACATGAGAGAGATGAGCTCAGGTAAGAAATGGCCAGTTTTGCAAAGAAGGAAGAAGAATTCTGCTAAGGGAGGTTCTGTTTGTGGTCTATAATCCGGGGCTTCAGATGGTTGGAAACGCCAGTTGCTCTGTACTCTTCACATCAGGAGAAAAGTATGTTATTCAGAGTTATTGAACTGCAGGGATTAGTTTGAGAATGCTGACTTTCTCCTCAAGCCTACTATTTCAGAGTGTTTGAAAGCAGACTCCCATTATATTGAGGAAGCCAGTATATAAGATCTGGCAGGTTTAAGAACTATAACAAACAGCAATATTTGGGTGTAGTGCACCTGACTGGAAACAAAGAGACAAGAAACCTGTTTCTGAGGAAATGTTATTACCAAAGGTATGTCTGGTCTACAAAAGACTGTTATTATTTGAGCCCTACAGCAACCCTCAGATTTCAAACTGGCATCAGCACAAATCCAGCAGTCCCCCAAGATATGGTCATGGAGGATAATGCACAAGAAAAAACTCCCTGCAGGCAAAGCAAGGGGCCATGGAGTACAACTGATGAAGAATTTCTTGCCAGAAAGCAGGCCCAGTTAAATTCAATGGGCCTCCAAGGAACTCCACCAGAGCACGGAAGCCTGCCAAACAGTTTTTGGTAATTGCTATGGGTTTGCTACATTTCCCATTCTTTTCTTTTCCAAATGGGAGTTTTTAATGTAGTTTTTCCTTTCCTGTTCCACCACTGGGGGTGGATTGGGGGTGAGGGGACTGATAACTTACCTTTACTTTCATAGGTTGCTAGGTCATGAGAAACTATAGCTGGGGAGGATGATGTATCACCCAAAGATCCTGGTCTTAGAGCTGAAAGCAGTAACTGGTTGAGAACTGCCAAATGGTGAATGGTTTCTATGTGTGGAAAAAAGGATGTTCATGCTTACTTGGATAGCCAGAGAGGGAGAATATGGTGGAGCCAGCTAGTTGGTTCTGAGAATCCATTTCTAATTTTTCCTTTTTTTCCTTTCAGTAACAGAACCCCCTAAGCTGAGCAAATGGCTGGCAATTAAAGACTACATTTCCCAGCCTCCCTTGCAGCTAGATATGGCTATATGAGGGAATCTGGGTTGATGGGATGTGAGTGGAGTTGATGTATGTCATTCCAGGTCTTCTCCTTAAAGATGCTTGCTCTGTGCTTTTTCTCCTTCTTCCCCACAGGCAAGGAAATGGGCATTCCAAGGAAGGACCTTGGAAGTTACTTATTGAGGAGGGAGAGATGCCTTACTAGCCCTGGACTGTTGACTTAGAAGTTTATTTAACCCATTCTACTTTTATTAGAACAGCTCAGCCTGTGGCGACATGAAGCAGATTGCCAATGAGCAAAAAAATCTAAGCCTTGTAGATCTGAGGAATGAGGAAGCACAATGCACACACAAATATATCAGTCTTAGAGCTGAATTCAACATTGGTAAATAAACCAACCTTTCTTCAAATCTTCCATTAAAAACAAAAGAAAGACAAACATGCATAGTACCTCTTTGCACCTTGTATTAAAAGCCATTTCCATTTTCCTTCTGGTTTCTGGGACACAACATTTCTTCATGACAGGAAAATAGTGTGGGTATTTTAAGGTAATTTTATATTTGTCATCATCTGTCTTTTCTAAGCTGTCAATGAAATCATCAGGAAGAGCACCTGCAAAGAATCATTTTCTCATACATCAATTTTTCCACTCATTATTGGTTTATTTAGCATTGGCATACTGTGGTTAAGTACTCTAGGAATTTTGTGGAGTAACTGAAATTCAAGTAAAAGAATGACAATCCTTATAACATCATTTTGATGTTGCAGGAATGGGGGTGGCAGTTAGAGGGTAGGTGGCTCAGGAAATAATAATTCAAAATATGAATAGGCTTCAGTGCACTTGTGCAGATGATTTTCAATAGAAAACAGGCAAAATTAAGCCAAGAAAGACCCAGAACAGAATAAGAAGACCCTAGTTTAAATTACAATGTAAGGGACATTGCAAGACAGAAAAAATTTCAAAGCTCTAAATGCTGTTAAACTCCAGCAAAAATTACCAAGATAGATTATGAAGGGAAAAAAAAAAAGATTATGAAATCTCCTCTGGATTATCTCCAGAAAAATACAGACTTAGATTCTTGTTAGCCTAAAATCTAATTTTGACTGGTTTGATTGTCTTTTCTGTAGAAGGGTTGGTGGGGGGTTAGGTACCGGATCATTTTTTAAAGAATTTTTTGAAATTTGATTTAGATTTTGTACCTGGAAAGTGAAGTAAACTGTGATGTGACATTATTTGCCTAAATCACATGATTTAATCTAGAAAAATAACAAAATTTTACCAAGTTCAGCCTTGGAAAATACAAGGAAAGTGTCATCCTCATTGAGGTTTTTGTTAAAGTCAATACATAGCTCACTCATTCTTTTCTTCATTGATTTAATTTCCTGAAACAAAGATAAAAACACAGGTCATTAACAATAAAAATAAAGTTTCATTTTTATTGCCATCAGTCAAGTAAGTTCCACTTTTATATGAAAACTGGCTTCTGTACCCATACGCAGGCAGTACTTTCTTAGAGATGTGTTTGATAAAATATCTTCCTAAAGTCTTCTATATTTTGTACATGTGTGTCTGTGTGTAGCACTTACAGCAAGGCAAGCCTGGTCATGTGTTAGAAATTAGTTGTAAATTTGAAGAACTAAATAAATTTAGGAGGTAAAGTAAAAGCAGTATCTGGAACATAGTATACACACAATAAATATTTGCTAAGTGAATGAACAAATCTAGTAGACCATAACCAATCAGCATATTTCTAATGCTTTTCAATTGAAAATTTTGATTTAGTAATCAGTATCTGGTGCTGAAGTAAAACAAGAAATAAGAACTGAGCAATTAATTCTACGACTGCTTATGGTCTTAGTTTTACAGAGCTCTTGCAAACAAAGGTGATTTATGGACCCCAACATTTGTATAAATAAGTACTACATGGAAGATCAAAGGATGCAATAAGGAGATCACAAAAAAAAAAAAAAACCCAGAAAATAATTTTATTAATCTGTCCCATTCTTCTAACAATGTTGGATAATGAACTTTACTTAAACCACACTGGTTCTCAAAGTGTGGCCCTGACCAGAAGTATCAGAATCAGCTGGGAACTTGTTAGAAATGCAGCTTCTTGAGACTCCACACTAAACCTGCTGAAACGTAAACTCCGGAGTATGGCACTGTAATCAGAATTTTAACAAGGCCTCCAGGTAATTTTGATGCATACTGAATGTGAGACTACTGACTTAACACATATTATTCAGGAGATGGTAATTTAAAATATGAAAAGCTTCAGTGCACTTGTGCAGATGATGTTTTAGTGGAGAACAGGCGAAACTAAGCCAAGAAAGACCCAGAACAGAAAATGAAGAGTTACAATGTAAGGGACAAAGCAGAAACTATTCAGTGTTGTTTTCAGACACTTTGGTTGTCACCCCAACTCCCTTCCCACCTGTGCCCCACGCTCTAGCAGCCATGTAGTTCAGATAGGACCTGATTCTACCTGAAGCTCCAGGGGTGTGACCACTACTTGGTTAGATAATTATGCCATTCCCATTGCTGTAGTGACCAGTTCAGAAAATCCAGGCCTGGCATGCCTCTGACTAAAGGGAGATTTAGGATTAGGCATAGGATCTGCTCTTGAGCATTAAGACATGAAGGAGGTTTGATGAGGGCTTCCCTCTATGTCCTTCTGGATGATGGGTATTTATATTTATAGCCATTTTAGTAATGGAAGGAAGCCAGCCTTTGGATAACACTAACACTGAAAAAGACAGAGTAGAGAGATAAAATCGAGTGGGTGACCAATGACACCACCATCTGTCTAGATCAAACTAACCACCTACCTCTGGACCTTCCAGTTATACAAGCAAATGAATCTCTCCTATTGCTTAAATGTGGTTTTGGCTGCAACCAAACACAACACAGTGTTCATGCCCCCAAACAGAACTGAGAATTGAAAGGAAGGGAAAAGGTCAGGTAAGTGAGATCAGTCACGTTTCTCCTCTCACTAGGATGAAGAGGATACAAGGTGATCAAAGGGCATGTAGGTGGGGAAAGGTGCTCACATCTGTGTTACCTTCAGTTATATCTACAATGCTGACATCACTTGGTTTGGATTTCTTTCTAACTTATTTCCAGTTCTGCTGCCTAGAACAGTGACCTGGAAATAAATCATGGAATATATTTCCTGTCCAAGAAGAATGAGGTTAATTCTGCAGCCAAGTTTACTTCTGAATCTGGAAGATTTGACCAGCATTAGACATTAGAAAAAGTTTGAGAAAAAGAGAGATTAGCTCTTTTCAGTAGCTAATCTCTCTTCCTTTAAGGGGTATATACTAATCATAGAGTGTGTCATTCCAAAGTGCCAGTTTTAAAACTCTCCATCAATAAAGATTTTAGTACCAGTGCCCTATCTCTGTATGACCAAAGGAGTGAGACTATAAATAAACTATTAAGACCTGGAACTAGTTTTTAAAGAATGTAAAAGTAGAACAGGGAAAATAAGCCCAACGCACATGAAATAAATAAAACCGGGACAGGATAAAGAGCAGTTATCAGATGTATGTCAGTCACCATTAAGTTAATAGGAGTTGGAAAATTTAAAACCACTGAATACCAATACATTGTAAATGTATTTGTATTATGGGTTGTTTTATTACAACCCATGTGTCTCCTTATTTCCTGGTTTTTGTTGTATTTTGTTTTATTTATTGACTTTTTTTCCAATAAGAAAAGGAAATGTAAACTCACATTCTGTACTTGTTCTGGAAGATGAAGCCCATTCCTTTTTCCCATTTTAACTGACTTTTCCAAGTATCGTTTAGCCTCAGGCTTTATCTTCTCTAGATCACAGGTTTCCTGGAATTAAAGAGCATGACAACCATTTCTGTCTCAACAGTGCATCAGTAAGTTATAAACTGTGAGGTCAAAGTCAATTTATTCATCATCTCTGTTGGGCTATGAAGCACACAGGTGATTATGAGGCAGACCTATTAAAGACCTAAGTTCTTTTATGCTTTAGTGAGCTTCTGCTTGTGCAAAACAGAAAAATTAAATAAATAAAAAGCTAACCAGAATTTCTTTGCCTTGCATCAGAATCAAGAGTGCCTGTACAACTTTAAAGTATGATAACAGGAGCATTTGCATAATCTCATTCTGAGCATTCTTTATGAGTGAGTGGTCTTTTTCACAAAACATATTTCTTATCACAAATCATCTGGATTTAATTTTCCATCATTTGCTAACCTGGTTCCACTTGAAAGGCAGGAATAGAAATAATGGGTAGATTCTACACAAATGCAGACTGGGACTCTTTTGCCAATGTACCAAACAAGGACAGCTGGATAAAACCCCAGCAAGAGGATTCCAACACTTCAAAAATGCCTTGCTGTCCTTTGCCAAAAGAGATCAAGGAACTATAGCAAGCTGCATATGAACAAGTATCTGGGGAAAATGAGTCAGCTCTGCACCAAGAAAAGGAGAGCTGGACGGTAAATTTGAATCTGTATGCAGCAACACACTCGCTCACTCAAAAGAACAGAGGGCCCTAGAGGGGAATGGAAAATTCCCCCAGCCACAGCAAGGTAATAAAAACACCAGATGTTTCCCCAAAGCAGGTGGCAAAATACACATGGCACATCTGGATGGCCAGTCAGTTAGTGGTCCCCAGGATGAAATGGACTCCAGACAGATTCAGCAGGTATAATGGATTCAGTTTGGTGGTGAGCAAATGAGAGACTTCTGTCTCCAGAGCTTTACAGACCTCCCACTGGTTGGACATTCTGTCCATGAAAGACCCGGGCTGTCCATCCCTAAGCATTCCTAATTTCCCCACTAATTAGATCTGTAAAAGGATTGTGGTTAGCTTTAGAAACTGCATTTAGATTGTTGGTGCTAGGCTCATGCTGCAATAATTTAGTAATGTTTTGCATTTTGTTGCAGCAGGTAAATAGTTATATTTTAACTGGGGGTACAACTTAATACAGCAAACTGTACCTCACTTTGCCTAGCAATAAAAATGTTGTGTAACAGTACTAAAGCACTCACTGTGCATACATTACTCAGAGTTTCCTCTGAATTTATCCTTAGTGGAGGCAGAGTTAGACTTCTTTTTCTATAATCACCTCCTTTTGTGTCCCTGGAGAATTTTGTGAGTGAGCTGGCATGACTGGAGTTGAAACCTTCCCTAGCTGGTACTGGCACATACTGGGATCCTATCAGAAGATGCCTGCAATAGGAAGAAACCCAGAATGGCCAGGGAGATAAATGGGCTATGGGCTGGTTCCTGCAGGGATGGCCAGCAGTTCAAATCACAGTGCTCGTGCAGATGTGATTAACTTGGGTTCACCTAGGCTGGCTTTAATAGTGCCAGGAAGTCTGTACTGAAGTGTAAGGCATGGCAACAGGAATCTCTAGGCAGTACAATACTGCATGCAAGTTGTAAGGATGGGGAGAATCCAGGTACTAGCTATGTGTAGCAGGGGTGGGGGTTAGGAGTAGGGGTCCCCGGGGAGAAGGACCAGGCAAGAGCTGGACAAATTGTTAAGGACCCAGGTGAGCAGGTTGCAATCCAGAGCAGGGGCCAATCCCAGCAAAGAAGTGAGCCAGTGGGAAGCTGATGCACACAGCTGGACAGCTGCATGGGCACTTGAGTTCCTGGGCCACATTTGGCCCTGAGCTTAGGCAGGGGCTCATCACAAAGCCTCACCCACTGACGTAAGCAGAATCCCTAACCTATGGCTATGCTTGATGAGGATGGGCTATCATACTAGGTAGGCTTGAATTTGCCATATGTGTAGGTAGCAGGGCTGCTATTTCAGAAAGCCTGGATGTATATTCAAAATTCACGGTCTAGATTAAAATTAAAATTACTTACTCCCCAAATAGGTGTTGCAAGTGCAAACAGGTAGAAGGATATTCTAAGAAAAATCATCCCTGAATTAGGTCTAATTAAAATATAATTAATTAACTATACTGAAATATTTAACTGACCATAAAAATCATAACCTTGACTATAACCAGATACCTGTTACCAGTCAGACTCTGAGGTCTTGGGAAATCTCCGGTCTCTGGTAGGAGGAAGGCACTTCTAAAATGTACTTATTAAGCACATTCCTGTTCCAGAGCTGATCATAATATTCTCCTTTATAATGCCCAGGCAAGGTCAGAATTACCTCCCAAGGATTTTCTCAGAAGGAATCAGCTAGCGCTTTAGACTGTTTTGCTGTAATTGCACCTTCCTTTCCTGAATAATAACTTCTCCCCTTGAATCTGAACCAGGCCTCAGGCTCTTTGGGTGAAGTTTCTCCTCTTCAAAGGGTCGGAGGACTAAAGTTTTCTGAACTACTTTAAAAAATTATATAACCTCACAGTAGGGGCCCTTATTTTAATCCCTGTGGTGATAAGATTTAGTTTCCCCCTAACATCCTCCTGTAACAAAGAGCTGTTTACAAAGAGAGTGCTTTCTCTCTCTCACACACACAGGTATGCTTATATACTCATTTTACAGACAAGAGGACTGAAGTTAAATGATCTTCCTAAGATCCTTTCTAATGGTAAAAATGGTAGAGAAATAAATTCTTCAAATTCTTAGCTTAGTGCTTTTCTCAATGTGTTTGCCATACTACCACATTACTATCCTTAATTCATTATCATTCTTTGAAATTTCATATAAAAAATGAGAAAAATTTTAAAAATTTCCTCCAAATCCTCCCCACATTCTGTCCTATGACTTTGTCCTTTTCTTCATAAGACCTTCATATTTCCAGTTTCTAAAATATGTAAATAAAAAATTATTTCAATGGGATTTCTGTATTGTGCATGCTGAGTATACAAAGCAGAAATCACAATGTTGTTAAAAGAATTCTGAAAATTAAGACAGTATATTCCTTTGAATATCATTTTAAAAACGATTCATAAACTTTGAATTTGCTAAGGAAATATAAGAAATCAGAGTATATTATTGGAGCCTATTTCAAAAGCTAAAACAGAGAAATTACTCAATTCTATTATATTTGCAGTTGAATCCTCTTTTTCTTCTTTTTTTTTGTCCTAGTCCATGACATTTACTATTAGGTTTTTTATCCTAATACTAATAAAAAGGACATTCTTAGGCAGCTGCCAAGCTGCCAGCATTCCTGGGCTAGAGGGATGCAAAGAGGCCTACTTGCTGACTACTAATTCGATATGCCATCACAAAATTCTTTTTTTTTTTTTTCCTTTTTGTCTTTTTTCGTGACCGGCAACGGATCGCAACCCTCAGTGTCGTGCCCGTACCGGACCGAGACCGGCAACGGGATCGCAACCCTCGGTGTTGCGCCCGCACCTCGCTCAGCCAGTGAGCAGCCGGTCTGTATGTGGGATCCGAACCCTCGGCGGGAGCGCCACCGCGCTCCCAAGCGGTGCACTGTAGCAGTGCGCCACCGGGCCAGCCCACAAAATTCTGCTTTTGTGTGAGCCCCAGTGTGAGGACACTAAAGTGGAGCCCCACACTGCATGAAGAACACATTTTAATTGAGGCCAGTTCAGTTCCACTCAACATATGTTTACTGAACTCTTATTTATGCCAGGCACTAGGGGAAAAAAGATAAATATCCTTAAGAAGCTTTAAGTCGTATGAGGGAAAAAAAAGATATATTAACAGGTAATGTCAATATCATATAATGTATGAAAAAGAGGTAAGGACTTGGACAAAAGAGTGGCACTAAGGAGGGGTGCCTGGCCAATGGGGAAACTAAGCCAAGGTAGTAATGCTTTATATCTGGATCTCTAGGCAATTAAGAGCCCAACAAAGTTAAAAGTTTCAGTAGTATTGGTTATGACCAATACCTAGGCACATATTTCAAAATCAAGAAGGCATGGTCATTAAGGCAATTAAATTATAAATTTTGAACTTTTTTTGTTTGTTTTGTTTTGGTTATAGTTTAAAGGCACTGGTTCTTATATTTTAATTTTGGGTTGGGTTTCCATGGCTGGTTGAGTAGGAGAGATTACATAATGCTTAAAAGCATCTATATTTAATCCCATGACCTATATATTTAATCCCATGACCTATTTGCACTGTAACATTAAAACTTTCCCATTTAAATCACTGATTCTCTAAGATAAATTGGCAAGACCAAAGCCCATAGCTCTGAAAAAATACAAACAATATTACAATAGATGACTGTATTTCTCAAATTTAGTTTGCATAATTCAGCCTCAATTTCACTAAACAATTTTTCTTGTGCATTTATTACTTAACAGGCCACTGGAATAAAATATGCCTGAATGTTTTAACATGAAGACACTGTATTTCTCACACCAATATGGCTGGAAAGAGCATGTATAAACCTTCTCTGATCTCTGGTGGCTCTTTAGCCAATGCTTGAGAATGCTCTGTCAAGACTGGGAAATACCAAAACCTGTGGTCATAATTGCTAGCTTTTGATACTTGGCCATTTTTTAGCTAAAGGGATGAGGAAATCCTTTTCATTGCTTCTTTTTTCTTTTGGTGGAATGTAGGATACATTTAATATATTCAGTTTGTGTGTAATATTTGATACCTACAAATATAACTATATATGTAAGTTATGAAGAAAAATTAAATCCACCCTTCAACTTATTTGGCAGCTGGCCGGAACGGGATCCGACCCTTGACCTTGGTTTTATAACAGGTGCTCTAACCAACTGAGTTAACCACCCAGCTCACACCCTTCAAGTTATAAAACAGGATATCAACAACACTGTTGTACTTATTTACTCAACAGGTAACCTTTGCAAAAGATGATTATTCTCTTGAATTTTGTGATGTTTTTTCCAGTTTTACCACTGTCTTAGTCCATTTTATGTTGCTATAACAGAATACCTGAGACTAGATATTTTATAAGAAAAGGAGTTTATTTAGATCATGAGTCTGGTGGCTGGAAGTCCAAGATTGGGTAGCTGCATGTGGCAAGAACCTCAGGTTGCTTTCACTCATGGTGGAAAATAGAAGGGGAGCCCAATTATGCAAAGAGATCACATGGTGAGAGAGGAAGCAAGACAGAGAGAGGGGAGGTGCCAGACTCTTTTTTAACAACCAGCTCTTGCAGGAAATAGTAGAGTGAGAACTTACTCACACCTGAGGGAGAGCATTAATATATTTATGAAGGATACGCCCATATGACCCAGACACTTCCCACTAGGCCACCTCCAAACACTGCCACATTGGGGATCAAATTTCAACATGAGTTTTGGAGGGGACAAACATCCAAACCATAGCAACCTCCTATAAATATGCTGTTTAGTTTTGCTTCTTTTTGAGCTTTATAAAATGATACCATGTTGTATGCAGCATTCTGCAATTTCTTTCTTTTATTATTACTAACATTCAGCCATATTGTTCCATGTTGCTATAGTTTATATATTTCAATGCTATAAAATATTCCATTGCATAAATGTACCACAATTTAGTGAGGCATTTTCTTGCTGATGGAAATCTGGTTTGTTTCAGTGTTTTGCTGTTATAATGTTGCTATGAACAATTGTCCAATTTCACCTTTGCACAAATGCAGAAGTATCTCCAGGTAAATGCTGAGGTGGGGACAGGGAAGATGTGCTAGGTTATGGAAAATGTAAAATGCAGCTTTATAGCAATAGGTTTTTCTCCAACTTAATCATTACTTTTAATCAATTACACTCTTACTAGTAGTGAATGAACATTCCTGTTGATCCGTATCCACAAAGACATTTGGCATCATAATACTTAATTATTGTTAATCTTGTGAATGAAAAATGGTAACTTATGACGGTCTTCATTTGCCTTTCCCTAGTTACTAATGAGATTGAGCATCTTTTCATATGTTTAATTACCATTTATGTTTCTTTTGAAATATCTCTTCATGTCATTGGCCCATTTTTCTATAGGGGTGTTTCTTTGCTATTGACTGCAGTAGTTCTTCATATATCCTAGAACGCTTTCCTAGTTTAATGTTTTACAAATTTCTTTTCTCAGTATTTGATTTTTCATTTTTTTTAATAAAAAGTTTTCTTTTTGATGTAGTCAAGTTTATTAGGTTTATATTTCAGAGTTAGCACTTTTTTGTCTTGTTTAAGAACTATACTCTGCCTAGATGTCATGGGGATGTAGTCCTATATAAACTTCTAGAAGCTTTAAACTTTAGTCTTTTAAGACTTGAATCCATTAGGAATTGTCTTTCAGTTCGGTTGTGAGAAAGAGATCCAATTTTATTTTTTTTCACTTGGATTACTCATGTTCCAGCACCAATATTGAAGGCCTATTTTCCGGATCTCCCACCTTAGTTTGATGAACATTTACTGAATGCTTACTTTGTACCAGGCACTTTGCCAGAGGTGCAAAATACAATCAAACATGACACCCCCCTCCCTTGAGGGGTTTAATGTAAAGTTTATATGGTTTCTGACAAGTACTTACTAACCAGTTCTTTTGCTCTTGGAAAGTTGCCATTTCTGAGCTTCAGTTTCTCCCCTTATAAAAAGGGCTACCTCATAAGGTTGGTATAAGCGTTACATTAGGTAGCTCTATTGTTGTACAAATGTAAGGTAGTGTTACTAGCCACACATTTGGAGGGAGGGAGGAAGATTGGTTAGTCTTATGCTCTACTATAATTTCTTCCATCCATTTAGTCAACAAATTACTTATTTTGGAGGTTTTGAAACATGAGTGCAAATTAATTGATATTCCCCAGACTGAGATGTGGTGTTTCTTGAATATGGGCAGATAGCAGTGATTGGTCAGCTAATACAGTATGGCAGAAGTGATGCTATGTGACTTCTGAGACAGGTCAGAAAATGCAAAGCAGCTTGTGTGCTTTGTCAGAACCCTGAGTTTTCATGAAAGTCCTACCACCTGGTGCTGCCATGCTGCCAGGAAGCCCCAATTAACCCACATGAAGGGACTACGTGGAGATGCCCTGTGCTATGGACTGAATTGCATCCTCTCATTTGTTGAAGCCCTAACCCCTAATGTGACTCTATTTGGAGATAGGACTTTTAGGAGGTAATTAAGGTTAAATGAAGACAGAGGGGTGAGGTCCTAATCGGACAGGATTGGTGGCCTTTTAAGAAGAGTAGGAGATCTCTCTCTTTCTCCCTGCACATGCACTGATGAAAGGCCATGTGCATATCAGCAAGAAGGGGCTGTCCTCAAGCCAGGAAGAGAGCTCTCATAAGAACCCAACCATGTTGGCAATCTGATCTCAAACTTCAGCCTCCACAACTGGGAAAAAATAAATTTCTGTTGTTTGAACCACCCAGTCTATGGGATTTTGTTATGGCAGCCCAAGCAGACTAAGATATTCTGAGACTACACAAAAAAAGAGAGATGCCTCGTTAGCTCCTACCCACTTCAACACCAGCCACCACTGCCAGAAACCACATGTAAGGCTCCAAGTCAGAACTGCCCGACTGATTCCTTCCTGAATTCCTGATCCCCAGAAACTGTGAGAGAAAATAAAATGATTCTTGCTATTTCTGGCCACTAAGTTTTAGGGTAATATGTCATGTATCATTAGATAGCTGGAACCCTTATTGAGCACAGATTTGCAAAAAGAACTGTGAAAAGTAATTTCACATTTCTACCAATTAATCCTAAGTGAAAATGACATGAGAGCTAAAATAGAATTTTATATCCAATTTGAGTAATATTATATTTGATTATTGTCTACATTGGTGGTATCTTGGGAACTCAATATTATTCAGAGCACCCTCAGTACAGTATGCCTAAAATTGCTGATTTCATATTAATTTAACATCCTATTTATCTAGCTTAATTAAGCTTTATGTGTTACATCATGGTTGTCCTATTTTACTTATACTATTATAGAGAAAAATAAACAGAATATTTGGATTATATCTAATTTTGTCCTTTGGGTATGAATGGGATGAGATTTACCATTTATTAAAGTGTCCAGCTCTAGCAGAACACTGATACTGATAATTCTAGATTTTTTTTTTTTTTAAAAGATGACCGGTAAGGGGATCTTAACCCTTGACTTGGTGTTGTCAGCACCACGCTCAGCCAGTGAGCGAACCGGCCATCCCTATATGGGATCCGAACCAGGGGCCTTGGTGTTATCAGCACCGCACTCTCCCGAGTGAGCCACCGGGCCGGCCCCGATAATTCTAGATTTTTAAAAATACTACATAAATAAACATAACTATTTGCAAAGAAGGTGTTTAAAGGTATACATAAATTTACCTAATGAGCTTCAGTGCAAAAAGAAACACAAAAGTTATTTTTTATTATTCTGAGGTAGTCTTAACAGACATCGTAGCAGCCCTTAAAAATGTTGGCACAAGAATCTACATTTACGAGAGGAAAAATTATGAAACCAAATCTAAGACCACCTTAAATTGTTACAATAAAACCCTAAAATGAACCAGCCCAAATGAATACACAAATATGATGACTACATTGATGTTTATGAGGTTACTATGGTGTGCTAGTCTACTCTACAGGCAGCAATTTGTTCCCAAATATATTCCCTCAAATTTGAAAGTATGACAAGGAAATGTAAAGTAACCAATCTTACATATCTTAATAACATTCATAAGAATCAGAGAAGGTGGAATAGTAACAAAAACATTATTCCAAATGAGAACTTAGAAGTCACAATGAAAACAGGGTTAATCAAAGGAAATTAGAAATTCTAGCAAAAAAATTCTAAAATACTTATAAAATATAGAGCTAGAAAGAAGATTAGATTATTTTGAGATGAAGACTATAAAGGTCATGATTCAAGTCACACAGAATAACAACTGTAGCCAAAAGGAGAAAAGAGAACAAACAATTCAGCTAGCAAAAAGGATAATCAGAAGGTTATTTTCATTTGTATTATTTTTATAGTGCCAAAGATGAACTCTTATGAACCATATATAGTACCAATTATAGGGTGAAAATTGCTTGTCTGACATGAAGAAATAAATAGCATGTACATCTTACATAACTAAAGTCTGGATTATATATTCTATAATCAGTTATGAGTTACAAAGCAATTTCATTTAAAATGTTTTATTTCAACTTGTCATAATTTGCTAAAAAGGAACAAAAATTTTTGAAGTTTTGCAGTAAGAAACATGCAAAATTAAGCAAAAAATGTCTAGGATTGTAAAACATTGGTTGTTTTAAAACAATTATTGGGGTGTCATGAAAATAAAAACTTAAAGCAAAGTTGCAATGAAAATGCTAGGAGGCAAATCAACACTGGTGATAAAAAGATCCAAAACATTTAAGACAGACCCACTTAGAGCACTCACTATCCATAATTTCCATGAGTCCTGAAAAATGTAAGGATGACGGACAGGAATGACTCTGGCATGCAGCCTCAACATATGTCATAAATATTATGGCCCAAACCATAAAATATTTACAGACAAATAACTTGATTTCATTTGCTTCTAATTGATTTAGTCTAATATAAATCTTGCAAAATTTTGAAAATTCAAAGAGGATTTTACATTGAACCATCAAACTCATGATGGTTAAAAGCGTTAGATTTACAGATGTGCACTCTTCTACACTTGGACTTTAATTTCAAGTGAATGGAATTAGCAGTTCAACATAAACCTCAATGATGTAATATAACATTATATAGTACTGTTATGCTTCACCCATTATTATAATCATGGTAAACATAATCTAGGAAAATTCAATACTTATTGCTGGCCAACGGTTCTTACTTTTTTGTTGTAGGCCCCCCCCATCCCTTTTAAAGAGATTTATAACACCATTTACCTGTAAATGAACAATTCTTTGAAATATATCTTCTCTCATGCTCATCTCAATATCAAAACGAGAAAGTCTTTTGTCTGCTTCTGTACTTGCTGCCCGTACTTCTTTGTCAGAGGATACGTGCTGAGGAAAATCTAGCATGGTCCTTTCCACTGTTGATAGAGAAAAAAACTATGAATACTATAGGACTTGTCAAATTAGTATTAAGCCAAATATCTCCTACCTGGATGAATGATTGTGTTGGTATAAGTTTTTCATTTTACGCTTTCTGTAAAGGTCCCTACGTCTGTCAAGAAATAGTATCTAATGCAGCACTTGGCTGTTCGAATTGGCATCATTCTGAACAATAAGGATGTACACTGAGCACTTTTCAAAGCATGTTTAGGGTGCAATTTGTTAACTGGGAATGTAGGGAGATAAAGATATGGTGCCTGTAATGAGGCATCTTCTGACCTGGGATAGAGGGGGATTGGGTACATAAAAAGATAAACAACAATACAGGACAGAGCATGTTGGTTGTCAAAGGAATGGGATACTAATTCAGAGGCAGCAGCTATCAAGGGCTGGAGTACTAGGCAACATGTCATGGAGAATGTTGGACCTAAGAGGAGGAGGGGCTCAGTAAGTTGCTGGAAAAATAGACTACAAGCATGGGGACTAGCAGAGACAAAGAAAGCTCAAGAAACACGCAGACCAACATAGTGGAATGGGATGTGTTTAGAAAAGAACTTCTTAACCTTTTTAAAAACTACAGACTCCTCTCAGAGAATCTAATCAAAGTTACGGACCCTATCCCAAATGCACATATGCATATAAACATAAGACGTTCCATACAGTTTCAGAGGATTCTAAGAAATCTAAGTGGAAACATCCAGTAAGCAGCTAGATATTGGGGGATATTCCTGTTAAAGGATGATGGCAATTTAGTCTGTTCTAATCTTCACATATTAAAGTTGGTTCTTGGGTTTTCCCAGACATTTGTATTTTGATTTTAATTGGGCAAAAATTTCTGATGTCAGTGAAATAACCAGTACTATAGAATGAAAATGAGTATGGTTTACAGTGATGATTGTGGCTATGCTGTGACGGTGAATACATTTTTATTATCTTCACTATTTTGAAGGTATTGTAAACTGGTAAAATTTACAAACATGATATATAGAAGACAGTAGAGCTATCATTTACATACCAAGAAATTGTACTGCCTCACTCATATCACTGTCCTCATAAAACATTGTTACAAATAAAGTTGCTAAAAAAATCTACCACAAATATCAGAATACATACATATGTATATTGTTAAGAAACCAAATTATGTAACTACGCTTTTAGGATTTGATTCAATGGATAATTTTATGTCTACTGGTTAAGGAAAGAATGGAATAGAAGATTTAAAATTTAATACTTAAGTGATATAGTTAACTATATAATTGCAATTTCTACTTACTTAAAAAAATTAGCTCAAAAAGATATTAAGAAGAAATCAAAATTGCTCAAGAACTTAAATGAGCAAAATAAAATGCAAGCGCCTAAAACTGGAAACATATCCTTAAACAAACAATAATGCTAAACCATTTCCTTCCTTATTTTGCCACAAAGACTTGGAACCAGACTTATGCTCTCACTGCCCAGCTATAAACAGTGCTGACACTAGACAAACAAGGTTTTAATAGCTATTGCAGGAAGCATAATGAACTCTGAGAACACGCACAGATAAGAGAAAGTTAGTTTTCAAGAGATCTATTCCCTAACTCAAAATTTTTTTATCATTAACGCACAAGACAAATTTATGCAAGAGCAAGAACAAATGTCACCAGCCTAAAAGTATGTTTAAAAGATATATTATTGGGGAGAAAACAGATTTAAAAATAACTCTTTAGAAGAGAATTTGTTTTTTTCCCCCCACTGTCAAATGTGTAAGTTACTGGGCAGGCACCATTTTGGCTGTAATTTGATGAAGAAGTGAGCACCTGAACAAAGGACAAACCACACCTATGAAGCTGTCTGCTGGAAAGCCTCGGCCGAATAGGAACCAACTCCATCCCTTTGACTTTGACTAATGAAACCAACCAGATCCTTTTTTTGAGAAGCTTAAACTTAACACTTGTAGCAAGATTTAGTGGCCATAAATGAGAGTGGAGTAGTTGGTAACAGGAACAGAAACTGAAACAAAAGTAGTGATAATAGAAAACAGCCAAGTCCTTATTACAGTGGAACACAGTGTAGGGAACTCTTGGTGATGAAGGGTTAGTGGTGGGAAATAGATGACCAAGTCTAGGCCTATGCTGGATCCTGACAACCATCCAAATTCCAGAAATGCATACAAATGTTTATGATGCTCTGCAGCTATCTTATGCTCTTATGAAGCCTGGATACACAGCCAAGGTTGTTTAGTCATAATTGTCTCACAAAATATGTCCAACATTTAAAGGTAACTAAAGTGAGTCTTCATTCCTTTTAACTCAAAGGGTCTAGTAAATTGTAAAAATAATGTAAGTTCAGTGTAGAAAATATGGAAAATGGAGACATGCATAAAAAGACCAGTAAAAATCAACTGTAAACCCACTGCCCAAGATATTAATCATCATCATGGTTAATTTTATGGGTTAATTTGGAGGGTGCTTTTTGATGAGATTAACATTTAAATCAGTGAACTCAGAGGAAAGCAGATTGCCCTCCATAATGTGAGTGGGCCTCAACCAATCAGTTGAGGGCCTGAATAGAACAAAAAGACCAGCCTTCCTGAGCAAGGGAGAATTATGTAGCAGACTGCCTTAAAATTTCATCTGCAACATTGGCTTTTCTGGGTCTCCAGCCTCCTGGCCTTCGGACTGGAACTGGAACATCAGTTCTCGGGGATCTTGAGCCTGCCAGCCCACACTACAGATTTTGGACTTGCCAGCCTCCATAATTATGTGAGCCAATTCCCTATAATCAATCAATCTCTCTCCACACACACACACACACACACACACACACACACACACACACACACACACCCACCCACCCCCTACTGGTTCTGTTTCTCTAGAGAAACCTTACTAATGTAACCACTATTTAAATTAGTTTTCTTCCAGTTTTCCTTCTTTACTCTTACATACTGCTTCTAAACATGATTTTAATGGCTACACAGTGTTAGAAGATGAATGTTTCATAATTTATTGAGCCATTCCTTTTTTTTTTTTTAAACGATGACTGGTAAGGGGATCTTAGGATCTTAACCCTTGAGTTGGTGTTGTCAGCACCACGCTCTCCTAAGTGAGCCACAGGCTGACCCTTATTTAGCTGTTCTGTTGGTTGAAATTAAGAAGTTGTTTCTAAGCCTTTGCTATGGTAAAGAGTGCTTATTTATACATAAATTAATACATGAATTTTTGCTGTGTCTGATTATTTCCTTAGAATAAACTCCTAGATGTGGAATTACTTGGTTAGGGTACAAACTTCCTGAAAGTTTTGATGTATATTGCCAAAATGCTCTCCAAACAGCAGTGTAATGACAGTGTACATTTTATAGAACCTTTGCCAACATAACAACATTTAAAAATTTTAGGTAATTTAATTCTAAGTCACATAAAAATCAATCTCTGTTAAAACAGGAAAACTGCCAAGATAAAAAGCATAAAATGACTGAAGATGTCCACAAAATCAAATATTTTTGAGCTTTTGCATCATACCTACCTATATACTTCACTTCTACATCTGCCAGTGCCTGCAAACAGTTTTCATAAGTTACTTCCTCAACACTGAGCATTCCAATGGCATCATACACCTGTTTGGTCTGCACAATGAGCTCCTCAGTTCTTGTTTTAATTTGCTCTGGTGAAAGATCCCATCTTAAAACATTTCTGCCTGCAGCAGTACAGGAAGACATTGCCTGAAGGAGAGGTATCACTTCTCTTCCTAATGTCATCCTGAGTAAAATCCTGGAACCACCAACTCTAAAAAGAAACAGAAAAAGAGTAAAAAATTAGGGATTTCTGTGGGTCCAAAGTCAACATACAAATATGTATTATAAAATTAAATTTTAAATTAAAAAGAAAATTTTAAAAAACTGAGCAACTCTCTCAGGTGAACACATATTCACAAAACAAAATGCCCTTGTATTTTCTATTTTTCTTACATAGTTATAATTTTAATGGAATTCATACTTTCCAAACACTGAACTGTTTATTAAATTAAATCACAGAAAAACAAAGTTAGGTGTTGGAGACATAATAATTGTCCTTTATAAATTAAACCTGTAATTGCTCTGATTTTCATATTTTTCCTGTGCTAACTTCCACCTACTATGTTTATAGACTCAAAAATATTTTGCAGATTTAGCAAGGAAACATTTTCAGAATTCTTTTTTTTTACACCAAACACCAATTTTTAAAATGAAAATTTCATACAAATCAAGAATGATTATTTGAATTTAAGACTTGGAAAATAAGTTCTGGTATAGCTATGGTATTACTCTAAAAGAAAACAGAAATTGTTAAGAATAATGATACCAATCTCTTACTCCCTTAAAACATTCAAGCTAATAATACTGATGCTGTGTGTGTCTTTCCCCCTCTCTATATGTATATGATACATATATATATATATATATATATATAATTTTAGTTATAAATAAAATATGTGTGTGTGTCTTTCCCCCTCTCTATATGTATATGATACATATATATATATATATATATATATATATAATTTTAGTTATAAATAAAATATGTTATATTTAATAGCTAACATTTATTATGTGTTTAGGTATTATTCAAATGCTTTCCGCATAGTAACTCACTCAGTCCTCCAACAATCCTTTGTGTTACACACTGGTTATTCTCATTTTACTGAAGAGAAAACTAAAACACAGAGAAGTTAAGTAACTTGGTCAAGGCCATGCAGCTAGTTTTCTGGTGGGAGCTAGGATTGAAAACCAGACAGTATAGATCCAGAACCCACACTCTTAACCACTATGCTAAACCTCACTTCTCTTATCTTACAGGACACAGAAACAACCTTATAAGTTAGGCAGGGCATTATTCCCTTTTAATAGATGAGGCAACTGAGGTTCAGAGAGGTTAAGTGACTTGTTTAAGGTCATTCACTCAACAAACATTTATAAACATATAGTATACTATATGACTGTGATAGGCACTGGGGATGCAATGGCCAACTGACTGTGACCCTGTTATTCTAATATAGTGGAGAAGACAAAACAGATAAACAGGCAATGATGCTACACTGAGATGAATGCTATGATAGGGGTAAGCACAGGGAACTCTTAAAAACCAAAGAAGGGGCATCCATTCCGGTGTTGGAGAGAGGGAAGGTGTCAAGGAAAATTTTCTAGAAGGAGGAAGGAGCAAGCCAAGATCTGAACAATGTGTAGGAATTATCCAAAGGCCAAAGGCCAAAGGCTGTAAGGAGAAAGAGGCCTAAAAAGGTAAGAGGGACTAGAAAATGAAGAATCTTGGGAATCATTAAAGCATTCAACTTTATTCTGAAGTCAATGGGAGAGCCATTGAAGGGTTTTAATCAGGTGAGAGATGTGATAAGATCTGCCTTTTAAAGAAATCACTCAAATTATAGTGAGTTGAAAGGTTTGTAAAGAGAGATTATTCTAGAAGAAAGCTGTTACCATAATTGGGGCATACAATTAAGATATAAGAACCTAGGGGGAATTGGAGTGATTTAAAAGATATTCAGGAGGTAGAATCAATATGGCTTGGTACTGAATGGACATACAGGGGCAGAAGTGAGAGTCAAGGATGATGTGTCCAGGTTTCTGTCTTGGAACTGGATGGATGGGTGGTGGTGCCATTCACTGATATAGTGAACACAGAAGGAGAGGAAGCTTTGGGGGAAAAAAGAGAAGCTTGACTTTGGATATGCCAAGTTTAAAGTGGCTATGGCACATGCAAGTGGAATTTATTAATATTAAATGGTAATTATACCTACAGAAGTAGTTGAACTGACCCAAGGGAGTTTGCAGAGGGAGAAGAAAAAAACATCCAGGCTTGAAACTTTAGTATAATCAGCGAGGTAGAAGGAAAATCAGGCCAAGATGGGTTCTAAGAAGTTGTGAAAAATAAGCAGTGGAAGGGGAAGGCAGTGCACAACAGTATCAAATGTTGTTCATAAGTCAAGAAAGACCAAACAGTCCCTGTTGAATTTAACAACAGGAATGTCACCGATGACTCTGTCAAGAGCAATACCAGTACAGCAGTAGAAGTGTAGGTCAGATTACTATGACTGAGGAGAGAGAAGGTGGTAAAGGACTGGAGAGTGTACCTAAGCAATTCCCTATAGGTTTCACTATAAAAATAAGGAGAGCCAAAGCAGTGTTGCTGGAAGTGGCTGAGGCATGGAAGAGACACATTTTTGAGACAGGAGAGACATGAATGCTGATCTCCTCACCTGCCACTCCACAGTAACTGATGTCTCTCTTATATGAAACATACTGGTTGATGCTTATACTCAAGGTGGCAGACTATTTTCTAATATATTTTCACATTTCTTCTTACACCAGTAGAATTATATACTAACCAAGGGGTAAGTGGTAAGTCTATTCCAAAACTTGTTTATGCCTGTTACACTTATTTTAGTGTAACTTAAATATTTGACTGCTTAAACGTATGCAAAACGAGTATTTCTGGGATAGGCAGAAAATCTTTGGAAATTCTTTTTTTCTTTCCTTTTTGTCTTTTTTACTGACCGGTAACGGGATCGCAACCCTTGGTGTCGCGCCCGTACCGGGGACCGGCAACGGGATCGCAACCCTTGGTGTTGCGCCTGCACCGCGCTCAGCCAGTGAGCGGGAACTGGTCTCCACATGGGATCCGAACCCTCGGCGGGAGCGCCGCCGTGCTCCCAAGCGGCGCACTCTCCAGTGCGCCACCGGGCCGGCCCGGAAGTTCTTAAAAAGAGACAGTTACTAAAAAAATCAACCCTTCCAAAAACTTGTCACTATAAAAGTTTGGGAAAAAAAGAATTGTGAAGATTCAAAAGGCTTCCAAATTTAGATTGCTTATGTATATTTTTAAATTCTTCTTCTACTTTAAGGAAAACAAAATTGAAAGTTAAAGATGATGCATTCCAGGTGTAGTTTATGCAAGAAGGTTAGTGAGGAATGCCAATCAAGTTGTTCACACTTAACAAAAAAGTCTTGGTCTTAGATCAAAAGATTTAGGAATAAATATACACTTAAGTTTGACTATAATACTTAAGAAATTTATCTTTTTTAATGTTTCTACATGAAGCTGATTTTTTCAATTAATTGTTAAAAGATACAAGGGTACTTCGAAAAGTTTATGGAAAAATAAAATTAAAAGATAATATGAAGTGGGCAGAGCAATTTATTTTACATTGGAAGAGAATCTAAAGTCTCACTAAACTCAGTGAATCAGTAAAATGGGAGTACCCAAGTTATAGTAAAAATGGAAGATACCTGAATTTAAGATCTCAAAGGTTAAGCAGCATAGCAAAATCCAGGATATTTTCCTGGAAACAGATGGTTGATATAAAAGAGCGCAAAGAACTGAGAGTTCATCTGGTTTGGATAAACTGTCTATGTAAACACTGGAGTTAGCATCTTGATGGTTGGGCAACACTGGACCAGGAACCACAGTCTCTGAAGAAAGAAGTGGACCAACCAGGTGGTTGGGAGAAGATATCATGAACAGGGTATAGAATAGTAAAACCAGATCATGAGCCTCAAAGGTGTTTTTATACAATGGTGGAGAAGTGAATCTGGGCACATCACTACAGGTGCAGGTGGGTGCTGGGGAACAAAGAAGATGCTGATCTTTCCTCCTTACCTTGTGGTATGACGTGTGGAAGAAAGAGAAATGAATGGGAAATATTTTCTTCAGGATTAACCAGATTTTCATAAAGTTCAAGGAGAAGGGAAGATCTAGGGAAGAGCATGAAAGTGGAGTTTACTTACCATTGGACAAGGGATGGAGAAATAACAAGGAGCAGTCTAGAGTATAGCAGATGGTTGGATAGGTGTTGGTTGTCTAATCATTCACCTCTTTTCGCTATCTAGTTTATACACACATTTTCTTCCCAATACCTATGCATCCCCCACATAGTCCATGTTCTCTGAAAGAGGCTGCCCCTACCTCCAGAACCTTGCATGGACTAGAAGGGAGTGGGATGACATATTCAAAACCCTGAAAGAAAAAAACCTGCCAACCAAGAATACTATACCCAGCAGTTCTATCTTTAAAAATGAAAAGGAGATAAAAACTTTTTCAGAAACAGAAAGTGAGGGTGTTTATCACCACTATACCTGCCTTAAAAGAAATGCTAAAAGGAGTTCTTCAAGCTGAAAGGTAAGGATACTAATTAGTAACACAGAAACATACGAAAGTATAAGACTCAATAGTAAAAATAATTATAATGTCAAATTCAAAACACTCTAATACTGTAATGTTGGTAGGCAAATCAAGTAAATTTCTAGTATAAAGGTTAAAAGATAAAACTATTAAAAATAACTACAGCTACAATAACTTGTTAAGGAATACAAATTATTAAAAGATGTAAACTGTGACATCAAAAACATAAAATATTGGGGGAGAAGGTGCAAAAGAGTAGAGTTTGTGCATGCAAACAAAATTAAATTATCAGATTAAAATAGCATGTTATAAGTATAAGAAGTTTTGCATAAGCCTCATGGTAACCATGAAGCAAAACCCCATATAGTAGATATAGAAAAGAAAAAAAAAAAAAAGATTCAAAGTATACCACTGCAAAAATTCATCAAACTGCAAAGAAAGAAAATAAGAGAGGAAAAACAAAAAACAAAAAATTCCCCCCAAAGGATCTATAAAACTATAAAACAACCAGAAAACAATGAACAAAATGACACTAATAAGTCCTTATTTATCAATAATGACTTTGAATGTAAATGGATAAATTGTTGAATCAAAAGGCGCAGAGTGGCTGAATG